AAAAAAAAAAAAAAAAAAAAAACAAGTGAACTAGACACGCACACATACAAATACCCTATACTGAAGTACAAATACCGCACCAATCCGAAGGGAGAATTAATAACCTCATCTAAAGAGTACGTTTAAGGAGGAATAAAAATGCGTCATTGTTTTTTCAGTTCCCGTGGTATAAATGCTTCATCTCTGCTTTTAATTTTATGTTTGCTGATTACAGGAGATGTATTATCTGTCTTCGCGGCCGACCCCAATGATCCCCGATTTCGTATTCATGAACCATCATATGCCTATTTGGATTGTTCTGCCTGTCTGGCCTTTGCGGAGTACTTGGGACGCCGTATGAACGCCTCACTTGAGCACGGCGGAAGTGGTGCCAGTTTTCTCACTACACACCGACTCAGCGAAACTAATAAACTCAAACGACAGGCGTATGCAACAAGTGAGTTGCGTGCGGTGGAGGTGCTTGAAAAGATCTGCAACGATGAGCTTGAGGAGAACTTTGTGCTACGACTTGACACAGATAAGCGAATCCGCGTGTATGAGTCGGAAAAGTCTGACCTTCCCTTTGCCCAGCACTACAGTACACAGGACTCTAAGGCACTGAAGGAAACAAGCAAAACAGCTGTACGCTCCTTCTGCACGCGTGTGATGGGCGAGGAGGAGGAAGCGATGATAGCGCTGGTGCGTGAGGAGCAGAATCTCACCAACGTGGAGTGGCGGCTCTGCGACGGCAGCACCGATGAGAACTCCACACGACCGGAGTCACTTGGCGAGTCAATAACATCAGTGTGTGTGGGCACAGAAGCTAGTATGAAGGCCGAGTTGGGCCGCATTCAACGCTATGAGAAGTGGCAGGAGGGATTCACCAAGCGGCGGGAGGAGGCCATTAGGAATAAGAGCAATAAAACTGAGGAACCAGTGGAGCTGAAGCCGGTGAACCACTCAGCAAACCCGGAACCATTCTTCAAGATGAGTGATTTGACCGGAGGAATAAGCGACGACGATGACGATGAGGAGGACATGGATTTGTAAGGATCGGTGTCTGATGTGTGGGATGACTTCCAGCGCTGTTTGCATACGAGTCTGCGGAGGAGGAACAAGATTTTTTTTTTTCTTTTGTAATCTTTTGGGTTGTGCGCCTCCTTTTTTCGTGACAGAGTATATCTTTCAGTTTCCTAATTTTCATGCAATATATATATATATATATATATATATATATACACTCAGCTGTGATAATATTTCGGTATTTCTGTGTTTCTGTGTGGGTGTGTTTCTGTGTCGCGTACGCTTTTTCTAACTTTTGCTAAAGTTTACTACAGACAGAGAATCCCAAAAGGCACAAACATAGATTTACAGAGACATCTTCGGTGCAGCATTTGATGTATTCATAAAGGACTGCATTTCTTTTTCATGAAGATGCTTTCTTTTTTTTTTTTTGCATTTCACAATTTATCTCTTTTTTAAATTCTTTTTTTCCTGGTTTATCACTTTCTCCTTATATTCTTTCTCACAGTCGCTGTGGTTTAGTCTTGATCCCCTTTTTTTTCTCCCTGTTTTCTTTGCATACTGTACAATTAATTTAACTTTATAGGTTTTAACAAGCCATTGTTATAAAAGAGGGAGTAGGTGCAAAAAACAATCGTTTTCGCACGTCTCCTTCGAGTGTTGGTTATTGGTACTTCGTATTTCTGAGGGAGATATTTATATCTATATTTTTATTTGTTTTTATCCTAGCAATACCGAATATGTCTGAGAGGGGAGTTCCTCCGGATGTTAGAATGCCAAAAAAGCGGGACCCACGTCTTCGCGGTATGCAGCTACCGCCACAGAAACAGTTCTTTGATTCTGCTGACTACGAAGTAAGAAAACAACAACAACAGCAGCAGCAGTCACAACATCAGAGACCACCACAGCAACCCCCACAATATCAACCACCAAGGCCACAACAACAACCTCCACAATATCAACCACCAAGGCCACAACAACAACCTCCACAATATCCACAAGTAAGACCACAAGAACAACCTCCACAATATCAACCGCCAAGACCACAGGAACAACCTCCACAATATCAACCACCAAGGCCACAAGAACAACCTCCACAATATCAACCGCCAAGGCCACAAGAACAACCTCCACAATATCAACCGCCAAGGCCACAAGAACAACCTCCACAATATCAACCGCCAAGGCCACAAGAACAACCTCCACAATATCAACCACCAAGGCCAAAGGAGCAACCCCCACAATATCAAGAACAATATCCGTATCAGCCGCCGCCGCAAGGATCGGATAATACAATTCGAAGACCAGGAAAGCTGATTTCACCACCCCCATGAGCAAATTGAAACTAAGAAAAGAAAAAAAAAATAGACCTTGTCGTGGTGAGAGGTAAAGCCTCTAGACGGAACACATGAAAAAAAAAAGTGAATATGCGAAAGGAAAGAAAAATAAGGAGAAAAAAGTTGGTAAACGTTTAGCTGGGTGATGTCCTCGTTACATTCTAGAAAATGATAAATGCACTCAGTCTATGTCTTTCTCATTTTTTAGAGTGTCTCTGTTGCTCTGGGGAAGGGGAGGAACAAAAAGAAAAAAAAACCAATTGGAAAGCCAAACGTCAATTTCTACTTCCGTTGAACTTAAAAAGCGGAACAGTTTCATACCCAATGGCGTATATAATATATTTTTGCGTAACTGTGTTTGTGTGTGTTATTGTACTGTAAATGGAGGATGAAACGGTAGACCATCAATGGGCGTTTATAGGACCCTTTTTCTTTTGGGTTCCTCGCTCTTTGGCGATGCAGTGTTTTCCATCGTCGTCTTTTTTTGTTTTTCTCTTTGCGTGTATTTAGTCATACGGGAAGTAGTCTGGTATGTCTTGAGTTCATCCCTTTTTTTTTAATTATTTTGAGGGAACGCAAACATTATTACCATTTCACTTTTTTTTTTTTTTCTTTCTCTTCTTGTTCAAATATTTTCTTATTCCTCTAAATACTGAAATATTACCATTCCCAAAATACTTTTATCTGTATCACTTTGATATACCCCCCCCCCTGTATTATGAGTCTACCTCCCACACTATATTAGTTTTTCACTTTTCTCTTCTTTTCTCTTTTTCTTCTCTCTTTTCTATCCTTCTGGGTTAAAACGGAGGGGTGATCACCACACGAACACCACCCACACGTGAGATGCCACGGGGGGCAAATCCCTTCAGGGAACCGGCCACCCCCGGCAACACCGACGGCACCGTCGCGGAGGATATTAAACGGGATGACGCTGCCATGGCAAGAGAGTGGGCCGCCGCAACACGGCTGAGTGAAACACAAAAAACAAATACACAGTCCATCGCACTTCATAATACAACATCTACAAACACCTCCGCACGACAAACCCGGGGTACACGCACTGTGGAGATAAAAGAAACACACAGTACAGAGGCATTCATTGCCAAAAAACGAGAAGTGGGGCTCATGCGACTAGCTCTCGCTAATAAGGAAGCAGAAAAACGTCACTTGGAAGAAGAAATGGACCGCGTAGAGAAGCGGCTTCGTCAACAGCAAGAGCAACTCGCAAGTACAGAAGAGAAATTTAATAATTTTCTCAAACATAGCAATTTGGAACAAGATGCTGCAGTGCGTCGTGCAGAAGTAGAGAGTAAGGCGAAACAAGAACGTCTTATTGATATTAAGAAACTCTCAGCTCAAATTGGGCACGTGGAGCAAGATATGCGCAAGACGGAGGCTCAACTGGAGTTATGCAAGGAATACAAAAGTTTTATGGACAGCCTTACTCCACCACAATGGTTTTATGATGTTTTGTGTGATCTTCGTGTGAAAGATGCTAATATGGTTATATTACGCGAGACAGAGGAAAAATATGCACAACGTGCACAAGAACTCTCAGATGCGGCAGCCATCCAAGCTGCCCGTCGTGCATCCCGTGTGCAGTTTTTCAGTTCTGTACGGGATAGGGCCAGCTTTCTTGAAAACGGCGCAGGTAATAAATCCAATGGAGACGAAGAAGAAGAAGAAATTCCATTGGAAACATTATTAGAACAATTGCAGCATACTCTCGAGGCAGAGGCACAGGAAAGACAAGAAAACGCAGCTGAGCGTATTAAGGAAGAAGTTTCAGCATTACCAGTAGAGAAAGTCCGCGCTATACTAGATAATGATTATCCACAGGAGCGAATTCCAATGTACTTTGCAGAACCAGACCAAATTTTAGACATATTTATTAATGTTGAGGAAGGAAATTTATTTCTTATACAGAACAGTCAAGAACTGGAGGAAGAACTTGAGCGTGTCGCAATGGAATATTTACGTGAACAAGAAGAAATGACAACTATGGTACGTCAACGACATGCACAAATGGAGTCATTGGCAACACGTATTAAAGAAGCGCAACAACGGCTAAGTCAACTTGAGGAACGGTTAGCTGATTTGGAAAGCAGTGATACCGCTGTTGCTGCTGCGGGTGATGGTTCAAGACGAACAAAAGGTTTATCAAGTCCAAGACAAAAAGACGAGGAAACTGTTATGAAACAGGAAGAACTAAAGAAACGTATTGAACTTGCAGTTGCGGAGATATTTAGCTGTATTAACCAACACCCTACCCCTGGTACCAGAGCCCATGGTGAGGAAGCTGAGGGAGCAGGCGATCAAGCGCATAGATTAAAAAAGTCAAAAGGGTCAACTACAGCGACGGGCAAAAAACCTCGACCCACATCACCATTGACTACTGGCAAAGGAAAAGGCAAAAAGAAGGAAATTAACCCATCCCCATCAGCGCTTGGAGGTGGTACGGGTGGTAATGTAGATCATGCAGACGATGATGCGGGTGCTAATATGGGACCTGTGGAGATGCTTACCATTATTGAAAACAAAGTTGATGAGTACCACCGGTATATCACTAATCCAGAGAATGGTGTAGAGGAGTCCCTCATTATGAGCGTTATTAAGGCACGTGATAAGGAAAGACGCCGAAAGGCACGTATGTTGCATTTGGCTAAACAATCATCAGAGCGAGAGGAACGTAATCAACGTGCTCTTGAGCGTTCGCAGGCCCCTGTGGTGAAACACCGTGGGAAACCTATTATGTGGCGCTCTCGACCACCTGTGGAAACAGTTAAAAATGCAGAGACAAAACACCGCTCGGTGGCCATGAAAGAAGCGGATGAGGATGAGGAATTCTTTCGATAATAATGATGATGATGATGATTATTATTATTATTATTATTATTATGGTAAAATGATACCATTCCTGTTATTCTTGATGATATTGATGATTATGCGTTGGTGATGAGGTGTCGGAAAAAGAAGAAGAACAAGTGACTGGCGTTTTTTTATTTGTCTTTTATTTTTGTATTCGAATCTCTTCACTGTACTCGGTATATCTTGCACTGATAGCTGAGAAAGGGAATGAATAAGAACAACAAGAGAAAAACGAAACAAGGCGGGGAAAAGAAAAAGATGATGAAAAAAGAATAAAAAAAAAGAAAGGGCAGAAAATATGCTCCTCTTTATATGTAGGTTTAGTCACTAGTTGTCTTTTTTTCATATGTGATTGAATCGTTGACGATGTAGAATAGAATATGTTGGGAGATTTTTTCTCTGAATGTTCGCTTTTGGTGTCTGTTTCTATATGTTTTCACGCATGCAGGGTTTGTCTTTGTTTTTTCTTTTTTTTAAAAATTATGATTCATGCTTTTTTTTGTTTTATTTTATTCATATTGCTCTTGCTTGATAAAGGAAACTATCTTTCTTCTTTGACTTGTTGGTTTTTCCACTTGGAAAGGAAGGAAATACAGACAAGAAATTGTTCTTCTCTTGATCACTGTTGTGGTAAATTAGTAACATGGCGAAGAAGCATCGAGTAAAGCGACAAAAGTACGTGGAGCACCTTCTCCAACTGGAAAAGGAAAGAGAAGCGTATTTGGAGAAGCGCATGCGGCCCAAACGTAGCCGAGAAGAACGTGTTGGAGAGGAACGCTTTGGTGAGGTTGAAGAGAATCTTATGTCAGGCGATAAGAAGCGAGGTCGCAAGGAGATGGCAAATGAAGAAGAAGTAAATCCGTCTCTGCCTACCACAGGAAAAGGTGGGGATACTAACATGTCTGTAAAGGTTGAGGAAAACGAGAGCACAGCAACGGCTGATATCTCAGTAGCAGGAGCAAAGACTGGTAAGCGAGTGAAGAGAAGGTATTAGTAAATTTTACCTCTTTAATATGCCTAGTGCTACTATTGCTATTTAAGCTACCTGGGTAGTATAGGTATATTAACACACAGAGGAAATACGATTAAATTTGGTTGATACATACCTTATAAGGGATGATTGTAATTTGAGTTAATCACCATGTTTCTTTTTTCTTTCTTTTCTTCTTTCACGTAAGGAGTTCACGCGAGAAGTGTTTCACACCCTTGTGCCTCATCATCTTCTACAACCAACTCCCTCTTCTCTCTTACTTTACATTTTTTTTTTAAAAATATTTATCCGTTTCCTTTTTTTCCCTTTTCTTGTGTACTGTATTCTATTCTCCTCCTTCCTTCTTTTTTCCTTTCCATTCCTTTCCTCATAGTTTCCCTCCCATATAATATATATATACTGTGGAGTGTTGAGTGATGGGAAAGCCCCGGGGGGATCATCGAGGCCCTGGCCGCTGCGGGGTTCCGCTGGCGATGTGGGACTTTGGGCAGTGCGACCCCAACGCCTGCTCCGGCCGCCGCCTCCACCGCCTGCGGGCCCTCCGCCTCCTCCAACTCCGCGAGCCCTTCCACGGCGTCGTCCTCACTCCAAACGCCTCGCAGGTCGTCTCTCCAGCGGACGCCGGCATCATCGCACAGTACGGCGCCGCTGTGGTGGACTGCTCGTGGAATCAGTTGGACGCCGTGCCGTGGACACGCATGCGGATGGGCGCCCCACGACTACTGCCGCTGCTCATCGCCGCAAATCCAGTGAACTACGGACGACCGTCAAAGCTCAACTGCGCCGAGGCACTCGCCGGAGCTCTAGCCATCGTAGGACGCATGGAGGATGCAAGAGTGGTGATGGCGCACTTTCCGTGGGGTGAGAGCTTCTTTGATGTTAATGCAGAGTTGTTGCGTGGGTACGTCACGTGTGCTGATGCGAATGAGGTGATTGCTTTTCAAGAACAATTCGTAGAGGCAGAGGTGCAAGCGAGTGCGGAACGTCGACAAATAGACTTTAATAACCTTGACCTTATGGATGTAGTCCCACTGAACGCAAAGCGAGGGAAACTAAGGAACCAGAAGGCATGGCAACAAGAATACGAGAGCAGTACTGAAGAAGAGGAAGAAGAAGAGGAGGAGGAGGAAGAAGAAGAAGAAGAGGAAGAAGAAGAAGAAAAACAAGCATGCGGTGATGATAGTGATGGTGAAAAGGTGGATGATACCGGGGTTGTGGAGGCGGAAAGGGTACAAAAGATAAAGGCTGATGATGGGGAATAATAGTAGGTGTTTTAAGCTCACATGATGAAGTATTTCTCACTCATGGTTTTTCTTTTTCTTTTTCAGTACATTTCTTATACTACTATCAGTTTTCACAAGAAGAAGAACGTCAATATCAACAACAGTGACAAAAAAAAAGAACGGGTAACTGAACTCAATAAAATAATAAACACAACGTACACGTGCATTAATTTACCGTTAGTTATGCGAATGGGCATTTTTGTATATTTTTTTTGTTCTTTTTTTTGAGTTTATCCCGTTTTTTTTTTTTCTTTCTTCCTTTCCCTTTTCGTATACTCTTGGACTGTATGTCATCTTTTTTCTTTTTTTTTCTCTCTCTCTCTTTTGCAAGATCTGTTGAAGTCACTTTTTTTCCGTGTACTCACTCTTTCGTGAGTCTAATTAGTGTAGACTCTGACATTAGAAGAGTCTCCGTCATTTTTTTATTTCTTTTTTCGGTGGTAGTGGAAGTGCAAGGGGAAGAGCGCAGAGATAATTATATATACATATAGATAGAGAGAAGCTTTAAATTTCGTGCGGTAGGATGGAGGACGATAGGGATACACCTGCTGATGCGAATAATCCACGATATACCAGCAGTTGTACACCTAGCGCAAGTGTCACGACAAGTGAGTGCGCTAGCGCCCCTGATATTTCACTCAAGTCTCTCTTTTGTGTTTCTCTAGGTGAACAATGGGAAGACGTATCTGTTGAGAAGCCACCCGAATATTCTGAGGATGTCGTTGGTTTACATACTTGTGGTGCCTTTCGTTACACAACAACTTCCGAGTCTGAAGTATTTGATAGTGTTGCAATAGATGATATCGATAAAAGGTGTGACAAATCAATGCATGCCAGCAACTGTAATACCCCTTCTTTAAGTGCTGTGCTTAGTGTATCATTACCGACCCAACGAAGCTCTAAAGATCTCCGTCATCGATTGCATAGACGTGGGTCTTTACATCATTTACATACCTCATCTCAAGCATCTGATAGAACTATGATTGATCATGGGTCATGTGTTGATGCTATGAATTTATTAACACCAGATCAAAAAGCCACGGCACGCAGAGATCTAGTGAAGGCATACCTTTCACGTTCTTCTGGTGGACGTCTTCGTCAAAGCTTGGGATCTGATAAACTTGGATTTAAATCACATTTTGCTCGACATGATGATAGAAGTAACATTAATGCCGAAAGTAGCAAAGGTGTTGCAGTAGGTTTTTCTAGTACTCGTTTTAGTTTCGTAGATTTTGATGATGGTCGTGGCGGTGGAGGAAGAGGTGTCGGTGTTGGTGGTGATAATGATACCAGGAATTCCTCCGCTGTGTGTCGTTCCCGTAGCTGCCCAGTGAAGTTTAATCATTTATTGACAACAACTAGCTCTAATGACAACCTTGCGCGAACAGTTTCGTATTTTCCACTGGAGTTACGTGATTCCTACCATACGAGTGTAAGACGGAGTAGAAATGCGGTGGTACCTATACGTCCCACTGATGATATGAACCAGTACCGGTTAGCCATTCAAAGTATAAAGAAAGGAAGGTATGGCCTTACTTTACGAGAGATCCTAGCAAACCAGGGTGTTGATGATGATGATGATGATGATGATGATGATGATGATGTTGTTGAGGAGGAGGATCAATGTTTAGAGAGTTTTGACTCATGAGTAGTTGAAAATAACCAGTATGTTTTTTTTTTTTTTTGTTGTTTCGTGTTGACTCTTCTCTCTCTATTCATATGAATGTACAACCTCTTTCTTATGTGATTTGTTTTTTTTTGTTTAAATGCAAAAGAAACAAAAGAATGAAAGAAAAATGTGTGATTGGGTTTTCTCCTTTTACAAAGGATATATGGCCTTTTTTTTTCCTTCTTTTTGGTAATATAAAAAATGGTGATAGTTTGATACTGATTATTGTGATTTTAATACTTAATTATTTTTCTTCTTTTTTCCTTTTTTTTTTTTACTTTTACTTTTCCAGGTGACCCACTGGATTGGTAAAAGAACGGGGAAAAATAAGATCTAGTGACGATCAAATCCATTATACTGCTGCCATGATATCTACAAGTCCATATACGATATTGCATCCACTTAGTGATGTGGCGGGGTTTCAGGCAATAAGTGCGGAAATTGAGCAGCAGCGAAAGAGACAACACCTCCACCGTCAATCTCAACAAGAAGAACAAGAAGAAGAAGAGGAAGTACAAAAGAAAGAAGAAAAAGAATACTGGACGGATGACTTTGATCAGACGATGATATCAGGTGTATTGAATACGAAGTATTCGTATAAACCAAAGGGACCCAGACGCGTACTTCATGGCGAGTCCGTACGCAAGGAGGTTCTTTCAACCTATTCTATCACTTATCCTATTCACTCGTTTATAGTGTTTGGCGAGGAAGAGGAGGAGAAAGAGCGGGATTCCGTTATTTTATCAGAGGAAACAAAAACACATGCACATGCAGAACGTTTATCAGCAGTTGGGCAGCCGGAACGTCATGCATCACAATCACAGTATCGTTTTCGCGATGAGTTTAATGAATCCCTGCAGAGTATGAATATCGCTAACAAGAGTGATGCTGGTGGAAGTGTTTCCCAGCAAAAACTCGTTACACTCGTAGAAAAACTTCATCATCATCTTAAGAACGCATGGTGTCGTGGGGAAAAGGTGCAAAGTCTTCGTATAGCCATTCAGGCGGCAAGATTACTTTCTAACATGACCTTACCCACTTGTTATCCATCTGTTTATGTGTTGGTGGCCCAAGTGTTAGACACCTTTGGGGATCTGGTCACTCGCCGGTTGCAGACCACAGCAGAGGAACATAGTGATATCGTGGCTACACTTCTTAAGAGGGGTATTAATGCTTCGGATGATTTGATTCCTTCTGAGACAGTAGAAATGTGCTACAATTGGTTTTTAAAGATAAACTCTATTCGTGAACTCATACCACGTATTTGTATTGAATTATCGCTACTAAAGTGTTTTCGATACATGACGAAAAAAACACGGGTTGTTTCAGAGACTGTTGTTAGGAGATTGGCAATGCAAATTCGTGGAATAGCTGATCCACTTGTAGCCGTACATCTTCGTTGGTATTTATCTGCTGCTGCGATGAAAGTTTTCAGTAAACCGGGATGGGCAACTGCCTCTAGTCTTGATCAAGCAGTATTGGATTCACTAGAGGCACTTGAGCATATTCCTGATGATTTCTTAGAAACCATTAAGACTCGAAATGATATTAGCCGTTTGGATTATTTAGATCTGTTTATACCATCCCTTCAATGGCAACTAGATGTTGTGGTTCGTTATGGGGATGCTGCAGTACTGGATCAACGGACTTTTCTTAAAAATGTGGTTCATATCATAGTGGAAGGACTTGGAAACCCATCATGTCTACTCATATGTGTATGGCGAGCTTTTCCTGTTGAGATGTTATTATCATGGTATAGTGTGGAAGATTTACTTTGCATGTCGTTACAGTCCACACCAACGCGTTTGGTTTCACAATTAAAACTGTTAGAAACACTGTGTTTATCATTAGCGCATGTGAAACACCTTCCTATCTCAAGAAGTGGCCGAATTAAGTTTTTGAATAAAATATGGGAATTGGTGGAAACGGAACGGTCCAAAATACAAGATAACGGAACAGAGGAGGAAAGTGTATCTATTGTAAAAGTCAATAATTTAACGGGTGAATTAATGGATCTTTGTGGTGCTTTAATTCAATTTAGCGCCGTACAGTTGGGGTTTAAACAAGTGAATGTTCTTCTTGGACTCGTTAGAGAAATTATTACTACGTCCTCTCATACCTTCACCAACCAGTCCTCAGAAGTAATATCAGAAAACCTTTTTCATATGCTTTTCTCTTTAATTATCTCTCTAAATCCAAACACTCTCCTTGAGTCTGAGCATTTCATATCATTACTACAAGAATCTAAAACTGTATTTCGACATCAGCTTACCGTTATTCTCCTTAAACGTATTATTAAAAATGAATCGGATCCTAATGCTTCACTGTGTATACTTTCTGCTGATAAAGTGCTTCAATTATGCAAAATACTTCACGATGATAGTTTACACGTAAGTTTATTGAGTGAGTCTCAGCAAGAGATGAAACTAGTAGAAAGAGTATTTCTACAAATACTAGATAAAACGTCTTCTTCTGAGGAGGCCCTTCGAATTATGTGTGAGGCACGTCATTTCCTACCACGATTTAACTCTATTTTTTCACTTTCCACTACTCGTGCACTTGCATTTGCTTATCAATACGCTTCTAATTTTTCACAAGAAAAACATCGAGGTGCTATAAAGGCCTTTTTAACCTTTTCTCTCGTTACTGTTCCAGCAGTAGTAGATATTGTTGAAAAACTTCACTTGAATGTTTTAATATCTGGTGTTGCGTTTCGTTGCGGTATGATTGTGATTGGTGAGGCGGCGTTGGAATTTGCTTTAGAGACACTGGAGTCATATCATTTAAACTCTTCTCTCTCAAACGATATTAATAATAAATCTGCAGAATCTGAGAAGGATCTCACAAATGCGGTTTTGTCTTTGTTACCGATTGGCATTGCGGCACCGGTAAAGAATGAACACCTTTATTGTGTGAAACGAGTGTTAGAGTGGTGTATCCAATATAATTGGATGCCTTTATCGGAATCATGTGCGCGTGTTTTCTTATCAGTGTTGCTACTTACCGTACGTGCATTTAAAGGTATATGGATTCCTTTTCCTCTTTGTCAAACAGAGAACTACAGCAAAGATCCTGTATATATGAATGCCTGTACAGAGTGCTGTAGAGAGGCGGTACAACAACTTTTAAACTGGTTTGAGAGATGTCGACATGTGAAGAGAATATCTTCGGATAAGGCAGAGAAACTAACGAGTATGGCCCTTGAAATATATGAAACGGTTGCTGTATTGGCTCTTTCTTCACAGTTGATGAATTTGTCTCTGGATTCACTGAGTGACATTGCGTGGCAAATGGCGAATGAATGGGGAGTTTTGAGTGCTTCATTAGATGTCTCCCATCATATTCTGCGAAGTGCGAGGTTTACACATAAAATGGGTGAGCTCGCAGCAAACAATGGATTGGTATCACATGATGAATAAAGCATTCTCTACCCCAACCTCACCCCACTAATTTTACTTTACTACTTTGATAGTATGTCTAAATGAAAGTGATTATCACTATCGTTACAATTTTTTTTTCCTTTTTTTTTTTGCTCTTAACCTTGCTTCTTGACTTTATGCATTTCGGTCTATCTTTATTATTTGAGTTTTTCTTGTTTTTTTTTTTTAAAAAAAAAGAGGAAAAAATATTTGAAGGATTTGTTTCTTCTTTGTGTATCTATCGTTTGTATTTTTTATTATATGACCTGTTTTTTTTTTTTTCGAATTTATTCGCATTCTGTAAATTACTTTTGTTAACTTTTGTTTTTATTAATAATAAAAATAAGGAAGGACGAAAGATTTCTTAAATTTTGCAATAACGTACAAGCTCCATTCAATAGCTCATACACAAAAGAAAGGGAGGTACGTTGTTTTCTAGCACTACACATATATATACATATTTGTATACATAATATATACAAATACACAAATATACGTCTTTTTTTTTGTTGTTTCCTTCGTAGAACTCCTTCTGCCACAAATGGGTTCTCCACTTATCATTCGACTTTTTGTCACGATATATGTAATTCTCTGCCTGGCGTTGAGTTGGATTCTTGCTTGGATTCTACAGGTGCTTTTGATGATTGTAACGTACCCTTTTAAGAGCCGTGCGTGGCAGCAAGACCAATGTGGGTATATCTTCCGCTACGTGAACTTTATCTCCACCGATGTGGTAAATCCATTCTGGAAGGTGAACATTCTCCGCCCAATGCCGGAGGTGCGTTCTCGCAAGTTGCTTGTGATGATGAACCACCTGAGCAGCGCGGACCCCTTCATTATGATCCGCGCGATTCTCCCGCACGACGCCTCGTGGGTGGCGAAGGACGATCTCTTCCGCGTCCCCTTCGGCGGCTGGTGCCTCCACAACGCCGACGACCTCAAGGTGTGTTTTAAGGACAAGCGGGCGGGCTTCGAGACGGTGAAGGGGACCGTCGGCGTGATGATGGAAGTCGCGCGGGCGAAACTCCGCCGCGGCCGCCGCCTCGCGATCTTCCCGGAGGGGATCCGCAACCGCAACCCCGCCGGCGGGCTGCTGCCCTTCCGCCTCGGCTTCTTCACCCTCGCCGTCGAGGAGGACGCGACGATCGTGCCGGTGGCGATCAGCGGGACGGAGAACTGCTGGCCGCGGGGCTCGCCTCTCATGGACCGGGCGGATGTGTACGTCTCCTGCGGCGACCCCATTGAGGCGGGGCAGTTTGAAACAGCCGAGCAGCTCAGGGATCGTGTGTGGGCCGCCATCACGGAGCTGCGAGAGAAACACCCAGACATAAAGGGACTGCAGGCCAAAAAGGAAGACTAGAGGTTTCTCTACGACAATACGTGTCGTGGGCACACACAGACACACACAAAAACGTACACATACACACGCACGCATATAATTGCATATATCTATGTATATGAGATTAGCTGTATTGGGTGTTAGCGAAGAAAAGGTACTTTTTTTTTCTTGACTTGTGATTATTTTGTAAGTTATTTAGGCTATTCTGCTTTTACGTCTTGCTTATTTTTTTTTTTCTTTCCTCTTTTAGAAGAAAGCGAAAAAGAAAAAGAACGTAGATGTGGACAAATTAAAGTTCATATATATATATATATAATGGTAGACGTGATTGTTAATAAAAGATGTGCGTAATTTACACACAACTCGTGTAAAATTTTTCCCTTGTAATTTTCTTTCTTTCTTCCATTGGTATTTATATTTGTTTATTTTTATGGGTTTGTATTCACTCTATTGTTTTGTTTTTTTTATTTCTTATTATGAATGCTTCACATGGTTTTCCTCAAGAGGTAGGCTGGTGTAGGAGAGTGGGTTTCTACAGTCTAATAAATTTGCAGGCACGGGCGCAAATATATATATATATATATATATTGTATATATAGTGAGAGAGTGAGGAAATAAAGAAAAATATAAGGAGTGTAATACTCTCTATCTCTCTCTCTGTTCTTTACCACTAGGTGTATTTGAGACAAGATGCAAGAAGCTATATCATCCTGGAGGGATGAAAGTGGGTATCTTTATGATGACGATAACCAGGATTCCTTTAACCTTGTTGTAGCCAATGGTAAGGAGGAGAGCGTTAATGCTGCAAAAAACAGCCCAGGAAAGCGCTCAGAAGTAGCTTTCCTCATGGATAAACTTGTTTCTGAACAGCAAAAAGTACAGGGATTGGAGGAACAGCTCTCATTCCTGAGGAAAGAGCTAGAAGAAGCACGATTTGGGTCTCATGGTATTTCTCGCGATATGACGTTCAATTCTTCCCAATCTATTTTTTCCGTGCATAATAATACCAAGAATTCCATTTCACAAGATGCATATATAAACGATCGCAGCTCCCGTAATTCATCAGCAGTACCAGTGGTACCACCAATATGGACATCAGGAGAATCAGAAGTGTTAAGAACGGTTTCATTACCTCAGTTACTTTCTAAACGAAATGAACTTCTTTCTTCTTTGCATATTCTTTCGGATGTTATTACACGGAAACGGTTAAGTTCTCTTAACATAGGTGGTGTAATGAATAGTGTGTCTCGAGAGAATGAAGCTGCAATTCAAGCTTCTATGCATCGTTTACTTGGAGAGGCATTTTATGTAAACTCTGTGAATGATATAAAAGAGCTACTTTCTGTTGCGTCAGGTGCAAGTGGACGAGAAATGGAAGTTTTTGATTCTTCTCTAAAAGTTATTGCTAGTCTAACTGAAGACGAAGATATACTGGATTCGTACGAAAATGTGCAAGAATTTATACTACACCCATCCTCTCGTTTCACACCTGAGTGGCGTGGTCAATATGCGTGGTCGATGAGGAGACTTCTTGTAGTCTTTGCAGTGCATTCACGCAAATCCCAATTACTGGAAACACGGCGTACACAACTAGAGAGAATCACACGACAGGAACTTGTTCATACAGCTTTACTTCGGGCCATGCAAGGACGTGATGTAATACCACCTAGTATTCATTGTCTCTCTCCTGAGGCGATGACCGTTATAAAAACAGCGAAAGGAGCAGAGACAGAAGCTGCGTTCGATAAACATACAGGAAATAGTAGTAAAGCGATTCTTCAAGATTTGGCATCTCCTGTACTGCGTCTGGGTCGCAACGCCACAACATCTCGACTGGAGAAGTTGCCATCACGTGCGCATGCCTCACAACCACGATCGGCGCGTAGTGCACAGTGTAGATGGAATCCACCACGTTCTAACAGCACCACTGCACTGAGACGCAATGAGTCTTCGCAAGCTATACGGCCCCCACGTGAATCTCTTGTTTCTACAAACACACAAAGACGACGCACAGCGACGACTTTGGGACTATCAAGTATATATACACATCCTCGTCCTCGTAATAATATATCACGTACATCACGTGCTTCAGTGTCTACGAGAGAAAACTCACATGGCACTACTTTTTCTCATATAATGTCCTCAACTGCTAGAGCGCATAGAGAGGCAACAGATTCGCCAATGATTGGTGTACCTGTTCAGTCGTCAATGTCTCCACGAGCCTATTCCGCTGCACGTGCCTCACCAATTCCGCGGCGCCGTTTGTACACGGATCCTTATGGGAGCTAGTGTGGAACAAATGGACACAAATACTTGCATAGACAAATACACTCATTCTCTGACTATATCTTTACCTATCTCTTTCTTTCTCTCTCTTTCTCTTGGAAGGGGAAGAGAGGTGTGTAAAAAAGGTTGGAGGGACCCAGAGACCTTCTTTTTTTCCCTCTTCTGAATTACTAAGCGTCTAACTAAGTGATTTCAGTAGGGAATCGTTTTTAATTAGAAAGAACAAAGACGGGTTGATCTGTTTGTTATTGTTAGTGTGTGTTTTTCCCTTAACTACTTTTTCTTTTATTATTGTGTTTTTCATGGTAAATGTATCTATGATCGTTATTATTATATTATTTTTATTTTTCCTCCGACGTTAACCCCTTTCCTTTTTTTTTTTTCCTGTTTTACTTTGTACATATCCTTCTGGGGTCTGTGCTGGTGAACACTTTTGTTCCGGATACAAACTTTGTAGCCGCTTTTGAAAGCAGCATTTATTTCTTTCTTTTGCTCTACTCGTTATATAGGAGCAATACCAGTAGGTGAGAGGAACAACACAGGCTCAAACAAAAAAAAAAAAAGGAAAAAAAGAAGGCGTATAGGGAGAAGGAAAAAAAAAAAAAAATTCAAATTGAGGACTCTTTTTTTTTCTGAGTTACCATGTCCAATCTGTATGATGTACTTGGTGTCCTTCACGAGGCGGATGATGACGCTATTGCGAAGGCGTACCGCCGACAGTCTATGGCTTTCAATCCGCAGTGCCATCCAGATCACCCCGACCCAAAGTCACTGGAGAAACAGTTCAAACACGTTTCACAAGCATACGTTGTGCTTTCCAATCCAAAGGCGCGTGGTATTTACGATTTATACGGAGAGGAAGGTGTACGGCATGGTGGCACAGGCCAACAGGGCATTCCTGGAGGTATTGATCTTGACGCCATTGACCCATATGCGGTCTTTCGTCAGTTCTTTGGTGTAGATAATCCATTTCAAGTGATTGGCAATATCAGTGGACTACGCAATAATCTTCATGAATTCTTCAGTACCACAGCGGTGATTCCCAAGACCCTTGCGAAGGTGCCATCGATTGAGGTGCAGTTGCCTATTACACTAGAAGATGTTTTCTACGGCGCCGTGCGTCGAGCCACGTGGGAGTCTCGCATTGTCCGTCAAGGACAAGAAACCGTTGTCCCGGAGTACTTTGATCTCCGCGTGCCGAAGGGTGCACATGCGGGCGATAAATTTATTGTGGATGGAAAGGGTGACTGGAAGGAGGGATTTGCGCGTGGTGATGTTGTGGTGACGCTGCAGCTGCTCCCGCATGATCGTTTCCGCCGCGAGGGAGATGACTTGGTAGTTGTGATTCCCATCACCCTCAGCGAGGCGCTCTGCGGAGTGACGCTCACAGTGAAGACTATGGAGGGAAGTGAAATCACGGTGCTTATTGATGAGATTGTGCATCCAAAGTACCGTCGCCGTGTGGCCGGACACGGACTCACACGCAGTGAAGATCCATCCAATCCAAGAGGGGATCTTATTGTGGAGTGTGACACGAAATTCCCTGGCTTTCTAACACTGGAGCAGAGATCAGAGTTACGACGTATATTGGACGCCCAGTGAGTTGTTAAGAAAGAAAAAAAAAAAAAAAAAACGTGTATATTCACTGGTTGGTGTTTCTTCCGTTTTATCCGTAAAACAATGTTTCTGGATTACCACAAATTTATAAGTGGGAGAAGGAGAAGAAGAAGGAATGCCTCTGTAGCAACAAGAACAACAAGTATAAAAAACACCAGTTGCAGCGTCATAAAGCCATAATGATTATTATCGTTATGGGCGCTCAGGAGTTTTTTAATTTGTTTTCTTTTTTTTTACGCGTCACCATGAAGTTTTCTGAATGTAATGGTGTTGTACAGCAGAAATGATGATGAAATGGATGGGAATCGTCCCCATCTTGTGTATGTACGCTTACATCCCCTCTCTTTTACCATGTAGAGACTAGAACACAAAGAAAGAAAAAAAAAAAAGAAGAAAAAGAAGGAACTTTGTGTTTTATTGTTTAATTTCTCTTCCTTTGCTACAATTTGACATTGTGTCTGTTTTTTTTTATATATTATATGTATGTATTGTATTATATTTTATACTTTTGATTTTTCTTGTTTTGCTATTCTTTTTTGTTTCTCTTCTTTCTTTCCTTTTCTTTTTTGGTTTGAGAAACTAGGGAGTGCATTATCTCGTAGCCTATTTTAGGGTCCCTTTTCCCGCACATTTAGAGTTTTATTGCTCTTTAATTCTATTCCTCCATTTCTTGCCCCCCGATTTCCTGTTTCACTAAGAGGTGACAGAAGAAAATAATGGCCTCTATTACTTCATTTAACTCCTTTTCTTCCTCTTCTTCTTCTGAAGAAGAGCACAGCAAGAAGTCCGAGAAGGAGCTGCAGCCACAGCCGCAGCCGGAGCCGGAGCCGACAAAGAAGGAGGCGGACGATACATACAGTGATGACTTTGAGGATAATGAAGAGCATAAAACCGCAAGCAGCAAGAACAGTATGTTCAGTAGTAGTACTAGTAGTGCTGGCAGTCATGGTCATCTTGATAGTACAAAAGCAGCAGAAGACAACAAGCCAATTGTCAGGAAGACCAGTGCTTCCAGTCAACAAAGCAATGAATTATTTGGCAAGAAAGAGAGTGCACATTCGATTTCCAAAAAGAGTGAGAGTGGATTAAGCAGCAGGAAAAACAGTGTACATTCAATTTCCAAAAAGAGTGAGAGTGGATTAATCGGCAAGAAAGACAGTGTACATTCAATTTCCAAAAAGAGTGAGAGTGGATTAATCGGCAAGAAAGACAGTGTACATTCAATTTCCAAAAAGAGTGAGAGTGGATTAATCGGCAAGAAAGAGAGTGCACATTCGATTTCCAAAAAGAGTGAGAGTGAATTAAGCAGCAGGAAAGACAGTGTACGTTCAATTTCCAAAAAGAGTGAGAATGAATTAAGCAGCAAGAAAGACAGTGTACGTTCAATTTCCAAAAAGAGTGAGAGTGAATTAAGCAGCAGGAAAGACAGTGTACATTCAATTTCCAAAAAGAGTGGGAGTGGATTAATCGGCAAGAAAGAGAGTGCACATTCGATTTCCAAAAAGAGTGAGAGTGAATTAAGCAGCAGGAAAGACAGTGTACATTCAATTTCCAAAAAGAGTGAGAGTGAATTAAGCAGCAAGAAAGACAGTGTACGTTCAATTTCCAAAAAGAGTGAGAGTGGATTAATCGGCAAGAAAGAGAGTGTACATTCGATTTCCAAAAAGAGTGAGAGTGGATTAAGCAGCAGGAAAAACAGTGTACATTCAATTTCCAAAAAGAGTGAGAGTGAATTAAGCAGCAAGAAAGACAGTGTACATTCAATTTCCAAAAGGAGTGAGACTGGATTAAGCAGTAAGAAAAGCAGTTCTTCTGCTAGCCTGATCGGCAGCAGGCACAGCAGCGTGAAAAAGGAACAGCCGGCTAAAGACAACACTGAAAAATTGAGTCATGTAGATAGTTCCTCTACACTTTCAAGTGTTTCAAGTGTTTCCAGGAAGTCTAGCTCGGCTGGTGTAACGACAGAGAATGTGATGAAAATGATTGATGAATCTGAAAAACGAAAGGCTTCTGCTAAACATAAACAATCAAAAGAAGAACAATCACAAGAAGAACAACAACAGCAACGAAAATCTGCCGCGGCTGCAGCACCCCATCCATCTATCCACGGAAAACTATCTCAACCAGCTGCCCCATCCCCTAAAAGTGAAGAGATGATTGTGAAAACAAGGGAAGAACTGGATGAATTGCTTTCAAAAAATGATGAACTCCGCATAAAACTATTGGACAGTGGACGTTCAGAAAGGTATTCAAACCGTTCAAGACGAGATGTGAATACCAGCAATGCCTCAAACTCACGTCGACAACAAAGGAAAGCCGTTCAAACTGTTACACAGTCGATCCGCAGGGAATACACACGACAAGAGCTTAAAGGTGATCGCGATTATCTGCTGGCTCAGCGCAATGATCTCCGAAAAAAAGTGGCGGCAAATAGACACCTGCATTCTTATTTTGCTCTTATTGAAGAATGCAATACCGATATCGCCAGTTTAACAGAGGAGAAGCGTGCACTATCATTGGTTATTCGCCAGAATGAGAAGGTATTGCTGCACTGTGAGGAGGATATGGATACAGAAAATGGATACAAAAGACTTAATGAGGAGATAAAGGCATATACAATTCTCACGCAGCGATCATTGGAGAAGGCACAACGTGATTTGAGTGAGACAATGAAGTTACGCCGTGATGCACAGCAGCGAGTACAGAAACTGGAGGAACAGTTGTCGAAAGCAGAAAATGAAGAGGGAGGGAAACATCATGATCGCACACAACATGATCACGAAATTCGTGCACTTCAGGAAGCGTTCATGCAAAAGTCACAACATGTTGCGCAACTTAAGAAGCATCTGCGTGAATTAAACCCACCATCCACCAGGAAGAGGCAAACTAACAGTACGGAAAGATATAAAGGCGGGAGAACCGAAAGGGAACGTCTTAATGAGAGGATACAACAAATGCGGGCTGAGATTGCGGTGCTGACTGCCAGATCCAACAGACGTATAAAGTCTAGAAGGGAAAGTACACACTCGGAGAAGAAGTCGGGCGATACTGAAATCTCCACAACGACAAGTGGCACTCTCACACCAGCCACAAGACGTCGCTCAAGTGCCTCCAAGAAGACATCAGACCCCAAAACACAAGCAGAACAACAACAACAACAACAACAACAACAAGAAGGATATGTTAATAAGAGCGATTCGGAGGAACCAGCAACAAGGAACCGATTGGCGCGTGCTTCCATCAGCACTGATCGGCGGTCGTCCAGCGCCCCCATTGGTTCTCGCAGCGGCTCTGTTGATGGATCCATGGAAGATCTCAAACGACGTCTGGAGGAAAGACGCCAGAAAAACAGTAACGCACAACAACAACAAGAAATACGTGCTGGACGTCGTGCATCGAATTCAACAGCGAAAAATTCTGCAAGGACACCCTCTCATTGTATATCTGCTGAAGAGGCGGAGCCCACTCTGGATAAGTCAGATGAACTGGATTTCTTGGATACCCCAGTCAACAATACAGCTACAGTAGAAGAACCAGTAACAACAACAACAGCACCACCACCAGCAGAAGAAGAAAATGTAGAAAAGAGTGAAAAGGAAAATGAAAGGGGCCAATCTCCCCCACCACCATGGTTTGATGAGGATGATGATGATGATAATCATACCAATAAGGATACGAACAAGGATATTGTTCCCGTTTCGACAGAGAAGACTACTGCAGAAAATGAGAACCACAATCTTGAATACCTTGATGATGATAACGATGTGGTAGAGGAAGAGATGGTTAATGAACATCACCAGAAGGAGGAAGAAGCTGAAGAAGAATATGTTTCTCACCCAGTTCATATGAGTGAGAAGGCCCCATCAGAAGCAGAAGCAGAAGCAAGTGCTAAAGCAGAAGAGCATGCAAAGTCTGACGCACACGGTGCAGCAGAATCACACCATGAAGAGGAAGTAGCAGAAGTGGAAGTTGAAGAAGAAATAGCTGCAGTGGATGAGATAGAAGAAGAAGTGAATGACTATACAGAGAAGACAGAGATTACTAGAACGGGTAATGACGAAACCCTTGCTCCTGCTAAAGAGGAAACACCAGCAGCACCAGCGGCTGAGCCCTCATGGCTCGACTTTGACTAATTGCTTTACATGTAGGAAAAAAAAAAAAAGAAAGAAAAAAAAAGAAAAAAAGATAATTTTTTCCTCAAGCGAAAAAAAAGAGGTAGAACTCTACATTACAAACGGGATGTATTGAGTCAACTCTGTTGTTTTTTTTTTCCTTCTTTTTTTCGTTTTTTGCTGTGTTTCATTTGTTTTATGAATCATCACTTTTCTGCATTTCTCTTCTCGTTTTAAATAAACAACAACAAGAACAACAGCAGTAACAACTAGAATCACTGTTTTTGTCTTGCAAAAATGTGTTTTTTTCCCGTTATGTTTCATTCTTTTTTTTTTTTTTACTAGAGTTTCTCATTTTTCCTGATGATCCCAGATGACATATCATCTTTTACTGATGTTTTTTTTTTTTGTTTTCCTTCAGTTTACTCTTTTTTCTTTAGTTCTTCCGATGTTGTAGCATTGCGTGTGTGCATTTCTTATGCTACATTACTGAAAAAATGAAAAAAAAGGTGAAAAAAGGCCTTTTCTGACCACATGCAATCCACACATGGTTGTTTTTTTTTATTTCTATGGTTGTTATTATCATTATTATTGTTCTTGTTCTTTATGCTCTCTGTCTCTATTCCCATGTAGACGCCTATGTTTTCTTTTATATATATATATATATATATATATATATATATATATATATATATA